TTCGGACTCGTCGGCGAACATCTCCATCCCAGACGGTGCTCACACGAAGACTGCGGATGGCAAGCCTCTTTGCTTCCTATACAGCCGCGGCAAGTGTTGGGCCAAGAAGAAGCCCGGACAACGGTGCGCCAAGGGATATCACCTTTGCTGGTTTTGCCTCAAGGAGCATGCCGGCTGCGATTGCCCGAACAAGGGCAGCTGACTCAAGGAATCCTCAGATGATCCTGTTAGATCTCGAAGTCCACCTCCTCGGGAAGGGAGCCAATCTTCTGCCACCGCCGAATCCTTTGCGGAGAGCCTTCTCAAGCTGGATCGGTCAGTGACTGCCGAGGATGTTGTAAAGCTTTTCGATTTCCTTCCTCAGGAGGTTTATAGTGGGTCTCGGGATCAAGGCAACAGCACCGGTGGGTCCTTTACCACTGGACTCTACTGCAGGGTCAAGGTTTCACTAAGACGTAATTCCCAGCTGTACCCGAATTCAACAGCGGTCCTTTGCAAGTTCGTTCGCCAGGTTCATGCCGATCACATTTTCACATCAATCATTCTATTTGACTCCGTTTCAACTGCCATGCACGTTGATGCTTTGAACGCTCCTTGCGATAACTTGGTAGTCGGTTTGACCGACTTTTCAGGAGGCGATCTTTGGGTCGAATGGCCCGCTACGGTTCCTCGGAATCCTCACCTCAGGTATGAAACTCGTGAGTTCGATTCAGGTTCGGCCCTCGGGGCCCTCCTTCCAGTGTCACAGCATCCAGCTCTGTTCTGTGCCAAGCGCTTGCGGCATGAGACCTGTCCTTTTAAGGGTCGTCGGGTTATTCTAGTTGCGTATAGCTTGCAGGCTTCCGATCAAGCCAGTCCCGAAGATCAGGGAGCCCTGATCGGCTTGGGCTTTCGCCTGCCTGGGCCTGGTGACTTGCAGAACCCTAACCCTAATCCCCCTAGGCTGCTGCATGGCACGGATGGCGCCCCTCGCGCTTCGGCCTCATTCGCTCAGGTGTTCTCAGGTGATGGGGCTTTGGCCTCAAGCTTCAACAGAATCGGATGGCAGACCATAGCGATCGATCAACATGTAATTCCGGGGCGACACAAGCACCAGCCCCTTGTTTGTGAGTTGTCGAGTCCCACTGGCCAGGACTTTGCTTTGCATATTCTAGAGGACTTTGGGCCGACCTTTGTGTACATTCGGCCTCCCTGTCGCACTGCGAACAAAGCCCGTGCCAGGTCATTGCCGTCTTCACACCCAGCAGTTGACAAGTGCCCGCCTTTGAGGTCACATGACAAGCCCTGGGGTCTTGCAGACCTTAACCCTAGACAGTCGGCACAGGTCCAAGCAGAAAATCGCCTCTTTCGCTTCTGTGCCAAGGTTCTCGTGTGGGCCCTCGCTAAAGGGGCCTTCGTTTGCATTGAGAACCCTGATGGCTCCCTGTTTTGGAGCTGCCTTGAATCTCTTCCAGAGTTTCAGTCTTATCAGGCCTCCCTGGAGGCTTTCTGCGGTGACATGTGCATGCTTGGAGGTTCTAGGCCAGCTTCGATCAGGTTCCTCACCAACATTTCTGCGCTTCGGTCACTTGTTCACATGTGCCCCGGAGTGGGCGACGAGCACAAGCATGCCCCCTTTGGGTTTTTGTGCAAAAACGAACAACACCCTTCGCAGTTTGTGCAACTTGTGATCCAGGCTTGTTGTCAGGAGATCTCCTTCACTCCACCTCCTGCCCTGGCTCGGCCAGGAGATGAGGTGCGACAAACACGTAAGTCTCGTCAGCTTATGCCTGAGTTTTCCAGCATCAAGTGGCTGCGTCGTGACGACTTGCCTAGTTGCCCTCATAAATGCCTCCGGCCGGAGCAGGGGGCCCATCGCGGGGCCTTCAGCATTTCTGAGGGGTCTTTTGAGGGTCTCTTGGGTTCGTCGGTTTCTTCTGGTCCTCTTCCTTCTGGGCCCTCTTCGGTGCCCCCTTCGGTTTCGACTTCGGAGGTTTCTGACAAGATCCCCATAGGCATTTATGCGACTCCCGAGGAGTTCGTGCAGCGAGCTCGTGCTCTTCAACACCCGATGGCGGGTCCCAGCGTTGTCACGGACTCCTTCAAGAGAGCCCTGTTCGCTAACCTCACTAAAACCCCTGCCGAGGTTGCAAGCTTGAGAGCCTCCTTCCTTGAGCATGTAACACATTTGACGGAGAAGCTTCGCCCCGATGAGGAGGCTCTACATCGCTCTTTCTCTCCTGAGCTTCAGAAGGTTCTTAAAGGAAAACGACTTCTCCTCTTTAAGACCTTGCTGGAAGAGTACCGGTACGACGATGTTGGGGTCTGGGAGATGCTTCGGGACGGCCCTTCCTTGACTGGCACTCAGGACCATCCTCCCTATGCCGATCGTAGTTTTCGCCCAGCAACAGTTAGCACCGAACAGCTGGAGCGTGAATCTTCCTGGAGGCGGAAATTTGTGACCTCCAAAACTTCTTCACCCCAGGATGCTGCTACTCTGACTTCTCTTGGTGAAGGTGAGGTTTCGGCTGGATTCATTTCGGGACCATATCGAACAGCGGCCGAAGTTACTGAGGCTTTGGGAAGGCCCGACTGGATTGCAACTCCACGCTTTGTTTTGCTTCAGGGCTCCAAGGCCAAGCCCCGGGTTATCGACGATTGCAAATCTTCGGGTCTGAACTCATCTTTCTCCTCCACGGAGCGCCTTCGTCTGCAAGACCTCGACTATGTGGTGGCGATGATCAAGCTGGCTGGCAAGATGTCGGGTCGGCACAAAATTCGTATGGATCTTTCCACTGGTGATGTGCTCTGTGGTGATCGAGTGCTTCCCTCCGGCTCTGAGTGGCTTGGTCGATGTGTGGATCTAGCCAAAGCCTACAAGCAGATGGCTGTTCCTCGTTCCCAGCGCCACTTGGTGGTGCTCTGCCACCACGATGAACAAGGACTGCCTCTGTACTACATCTCGGAGTCCCTCCCCTTCGGGGCTGAGGGGTCGGTGTATGGATTCGTGCGCATGAGCCGAGCACTTTCATTTCTTATGAATGAGGCCATCCTTGTGCCGAGCTCGGTGTACTTCGACGATTTCCCAGCGATATCTCCCAAGGCTTCGTCAGCATCGGCTACCGCTGCCATTAAATTCTTGCTGTCCGCCCTCGGTTGGAGGTTCTCTACAGATCCAGATAAGGCGCGAGATTTCGATTCCACTTTTGATGTGTTGGGCTGCACCCTTGACTTGTCGGGCCTGGCCGGACCTTTCGGCTTCTTGGAGGTCCGCAACAAGCCTCGGCGGATCGAGCACATCACCGAGCTGCTGGACGAGTTGGGCAGCGGCCGGGGTGACTTCCGATTAGTTCCTGTGGTACAGGGTCAGCTCAACTTTGCATCGAACTTCGTTCTTGGTCGAGCCGTCGCTCCCCTTTCGCGAGCCCTGAGCTCTTCGAGCTCCGGTGAGATTAAGAGCTTGTGTGAGCGAATTCGCGATCTCCTGCGAGGGGCTCGTCCGAGGAGAGTGTCGTGGCACTCCCCGGATGCTCCTATTCTTATCTTCACTGATGCTGCTTTCGAGAAGGGGTTAGCAACCGTTGGCGCCGTCGTCATCGACACGATGGGTGGCCCGGCTTCCATTTATGACGGAGTTCTCCCCTCATCTTTGGTGTCATCGTGGCAACGCTATGACGACGAGCAGATCATATGCCAGGCTGAATTGGCCGCAGCAGTCTGCATCCGCCACCGAGAACGCTACCGACTGACCGGCAGAAAATGCATTTACTTCATCGATAACGAAAGTGCCCGATTCGCGCTCATCCGAGCGGTATCGGGAGTACCCTCGATGCAATCCTTGGCCTCGTCATTTCACACGTGGGATCTGGACCACCCCCACTATCCTTGGATAGAGAGGGTGCCTTCGACCTCTAACCCAGCCGATCTCCCTTCGAGGGGGCGCATCAACGATTGCATTAGGCTTCTTGACGGACGACATGCAGGCAGCTTATGTATGCCGCCGGAGTTGGAAAACTTCGACCCGATGGGCGATTTCAAACCCCTTCGTGATGATGGGCCAACTTCGATACTGGCAATAGCTGCTGCAAAAGACTAGTGCCCGAGTGCCTATGGGGTGCTTTCGGTCGGACACTTCGTCTTGTGCATTCGTGCCCCCACGGGGGGCTGCACACCGTGTCCTTCAGTGCCTGATGCATAGAACTCCAAACGAACTCGATGCATGCCCCGACCGTTGAAAAAGATGTGAGCCGCCTTTGCATCCACTCTCATGTTGTGCCGACTTGAGCTGTGCATTCGTTAAGACATGTTTGTATGTCAAGTTTAATGGGCTTCGCCCTTAACGCGCTACTTCGCTGGCCCCTAGGTCTTTCCTTTTGGAAAACCCCCAAACAAAGAAGGTCAGCGTCAACGAAGTTGATATACCTTTCTTTGGGTGGGGCAGCGAGGTAACGAGCGGTTTTCCATTTGTCCAAGCTTTGGTTGCTGACATTCCAAACCAACAACAACAGTTCAGAATCTTTTGTATGAAATCGTCATGGAATTTACATGATGACTTTTGTACCTTTTTATGGAACAACGTCCGTTCCTTCATGTCGACATGATTTCACTTGTAAACTTGTACATGCTTTGAAGAGTGCCCGCGCACCGCTTTCACATCAAGCTCGGGCAATCGCATTGTGAACTTTTTCTTCCCGCCCTCCTCTCCCTTGAATAATGGAAGGGGGGTGCTTTCGGTCGGACACTTCGTCTTGTGCATTCGTGCCCCCACGGGGGGCTGCACACCGTGTCCTTCAATGCCTGATGCATAGAACTCCAAACGAACTCGATGCATGCCCCGACCGTTGAAAAAGATGTGAGCCGCCTTTGCATCCATTCTCATGTTGTGCCGACTTGAGCTGTGCATTCGTTAAGACATGTTTGTATGTCAAGTTTAATGGGCTTCGCCCTTAACGCGCTACTTCGCTGGCCCCTAGGTCTTTCCTTTTGGAAAACCCCCAAACAAAGAAAGCTATGGCTTGGCCATGTATGTTAACAATTTCAGTTTGGAGGATCTTCTGGAGCTTCGGGTCTGGACGCCTGGGGACGGCCTACGGTACAGCTTCGATGTTCAGCTTATGTCAAAAGTGCCGCCGGAGTTACATGCATGGGTGCCAAAGCTCCTGCAATCTATGATGCAGGAACAGCAGGGACTAGCAGTGACCCATGACATGGATCGTGAAATACTGGAAGTGCTGGATGTCCTAGTGGGGGAGGGTGTCGTGGAGGGACCGCCGTGGCGGCTCACAGATGTTGCTCAGCAGCGGGTGGAGCATTGTGTCAGTCTAAGCAACCATCAGCGATTCCTGAGGAGACACCGCGGTGATCTGCATGAGGCCTCGACTTTCCAATTGATTCTTGAAATGGATGCAGAGGGATGGACTCATGAAGTGCTGAGCAAGCAAGAGTACAAGGATCTGAAGCGTGCTAAGGCTGAGTACAAGCACGGGGAGCAAAAGCGGTGGTGCTCTTGTGAGACGCATGCTGTCGCGAACAGGTACTACCTGCTTGCTTTGTTGTTGCTGGGGGCAGAACAACCCGTGCCACATGTTGCCAAGCCTGAGCTGTACATGGAAATGCTGGGGTTGCGTCCTGAGGCAACACGTCGTGCCAGAACAGCTGTGCCAAAGTTTAAGCACACAGATGAGAATGCTGGGTTTCTCGACTTTGAGGACTTTCCAAAGCCACCACCCCTGAAACGACGACGTCGTGTCATTGGCAAGCAGCCCGGTTCGCCTTTGGGTGAGGTGCAGGGGCCTGAAGTGCATGAAGACCATGAGCAAGAAGATGAAGACGCTGCCATAGATGCTGCTTTGGCAGAACTGGCGTCCCCCAGTGGCAGTGGTAGCGAGTTAGAAGCTGCTGGCGCACAAGATGACAGCAGCAGCTCCGGGAGCAGCTCCGATAGTTCGTCCGGCTCGTCCAGCTCCTCCTCCAGCTCCAGCAGTGACAGTGATTCTCCGGCCCAGCCAGCAGGTGCTCATGACGACGAGCCAGCTGGCCTCCCTGAGCCTCGTGGAGCCAGGGCGGCAAGAAGAAAGAATGTCAGCTATCAGTGGGCAGGACACACCTTTACTCCCAAAGGACCTGCTGATCGGCCAAATCATTGGCAAGTATCTTGCTGCTACGCAGCACACAATGTTGACAAAAAGTGTACGAAGACGAGATCTTGCCGCTATGGGGGCAGCGAGGAGGTTCAGCGCATGCTGAAATGGTGGGCGATTTTAGGAAGAGATGCTGCAACTGCCCAGGAGCACGCAGAGCTTTTCCAGGATACAGTCCTTCCCAGCTTTAACATTAGCACCATGCCGAGCCTGGACGATTTGGAGGATTTGGAGGCCATGGCGGCTGCAAATCCCTGATCATGTGCGCCATGCATGCTGCTGGGCACTGACAGGCTTTGCAGGCTGCTGCTGCTGCTCAGCTCTAGGCTTCTGTGGTCTTATGGTATCCTGGACTCCCAGAACTCCATGCTTAGGTCGCAACGCCAAACCTTTGCTGCTTTGACTGCACGAAAAGGAGCGCAAGGGAAAATGAGCGGAAACAGGCATCTTTCGCACTTTTCTTTCAATTTCTCCTGTTTTGCTCTGTTTGAATGTTTTTTCAAGGAATACCTGCAATTTTGAATTTTTCCAGAACATGCCAGAATCCCATTCTTGCTTTCGTGCGCTTTCGTGCGCCTTCGTGCGCTTTCGTGCGCACGAAATCCACAGTCTTCGAGAACTTTAAGGCTTGGTGAGCTCTGAAACCCTAGGGTTTGGCTTGGAAAGCCCTCAAAATCCAGCCTTTCTGATAGGCTGGGGCCCTGAAATTCCAATATTTTAGAAGGGTTCCTGAGGCTCCGCTAGGGCAAATCGAGGAAGTGTGCTCGAAGTCCCAGGCACCGATTTCGTGCAATTTCGTGCGCCTTTCGTGCGCTTTCGTGCGCTTTCGTGCGGATACAGAGAAACCTCCCCAAAGCCACTCTGGCCAGGAGGAACCACAGAAGTTTAATTTCCGGACGGCAACCCACAGTTACACAGTGTTGCGCGCGAACCGCGGCTTGGCCTTGCTGCAAACGACCATAATGGCAGAGATGTGTGTGTACCATATGGAAATTCGAAGATCTTGGATTTGTTGCTGTGTCAAGGACCGTCAGCTTATGGGGGTGTGACTTCCCGCAGGGCTGGAGCGTGCTGCGCAAACACAACAAGATATGGAATAATTCGTAGAGTCCTGTAGATAATGCATGCCCTGAGGTGAGTGAGGTGTTTGTATCAGGTATATCTGCTACATGTGCCGCTACTTGCTCAGTTCCTGTAAGCTCAAGGCAACCATGCATCGGGGCTTGTCACATCAGGATTTTCCTGTGTATGTTGCTAGAAACAACAAGCACATGCACACTCACCTTGTGTATATATATAGCATCGTTCAGCACAGAGGCCTTGTCATGCATTGTCAACGTAACAGTGGGTGCTCATGCGCACATGAATCATGTTGTGGACTGCGATGATGTCTTGCTGCTAGAAGGCCAGCCTTTTTGTTTCATGGAAGGGATGGATGAGGAGTGGCTGGAAGAGACAGCAACAAGCCGTTGCATGCGGCAGCGAGGGGTGAAGCGTCGTCAGGGTTCCATTGAGGATGTCATAGCTCGGCAGCATCTGCCGCCGGGTCCCAGCAACCTGCAAGAGCTGATGCAGTTCCCGGAGCACATGGTGTGGACAGTGTTTGAGCGTGCAGATTTCAAGAGCCGTGTTTTGAGCTTGCTGCAGCATGGTGTATGTGAGAGCAGTGACTACTCTGGTGTTTTCGCTGAAGGCGAAGCTAAGAGGCTGATGTTCAGGGCCATTGAGCGGCAGACGGGCTTCAAGGTGCCCCATGTCGCCACTAGAACATGCGACATCGATTCCTCGGCACAAGCAACGCTGGTCCACATCTCAGATGTGCAAGAGCGTGGGAACATGTGCGTGTTTCCTGACATACGGCAACAGGTGCATCAACTAGCGCAGGATTGGTTGGACGGCTGTGCTCCGGGCCCTGAAGCCACACAGGATCAACAGGCTCAGGCCTATGAAGCGATGCATGATTGGCTCCGGCGGAACGGGAGCTGGGCTGTAAACCAGGACAGATGATGCTTCTGAGTTGTGGTACGTGTCATGACAACCAGCATCAGCATTTGCTTGGATATCGTCTGCCTTCAGGACCACAAGACTTATTGCGTCAAGCACGAGAAGGAGTGCACTGTTCACAAAGGCCAAGGGCCGCTGTCAGATTGCAATCACCGTAGCTTGGTTGTCAACAGCGCCGGGAACTGTTGCCAAGCCTGGTCCCAAGAAGGCAAGCGTGCTGGTGCCAGTCATGCTAGCATGCACGCACTGAACGTGATCAAATTTTGTGTTTGTACTCGTACCCTTATTTTGGATTGAACAGTTTGGTAGCTTTTGGACATGTAGCTTTGAGTGCATGGAATAACCATGTTACGACCGACGTCTACAGGCTCAGAGTTTGCGTGAAAGAGGATTGTTTTCATGGTAGCGGAGCACTGGCTGACCAGTGCTTCGGAAACACGCTTGTGGGTTTCCGTCACTTTAGGTGTCCAGGGGCCCAGGCTTTGAAATCCTCTTTGACTTTTCGTCTTCGGTGAAGTTAGGTAGGATCGCAATCCCGGCTCTTGACCGGACGAGCCATATCCTGCTTGAACAAGCCGAGTGGCAATCACGGCGGCGAGTGAAGCTTCTGCTGAAGCATTGCGAGAGCGGATCAGACAGCTCTATCTTGAACAGCTGTTGCAGCGGCCCTGCCCAGAAGGCCGCACGCGCGCGGGTTGGTGCAAGATTCTTCACGGGTTTCAGGAGGCTTTAGATACTAAGCTTGACCGACTTCACACAATTTCTGAACTGCATTGTTTTGCCCTTAAGTGCTTAAAGGATCGCGATCTTCGAGAAGCTTACATTGGGTTTTGTGCAGCAGACACCGCAGAGTTTGCCATACCAGACGGTGTTGTTGAAAGTTGCGTGCACCCGACTGAAGAGCATTCTGCGTTTGACAGGGACCTAGAGCTGTTTGAGCAGACAAGTTCCTCTCGAGGTTTTCAGGAGTTGAAAGATTCGCCAGCAGAGCCGATTGAATTGCGTGAGCCTGAGCGTGGAGTGTTCCAGTGCCTGCAATTATCTTCTTCTGCTGTTATTGATTTAGAGCCCAATCAACCAAGTGCAAATTCATTGCAGAGTGGAAGCCGCAGTGTGATTGACCTTGACTGATTGTTGAAACAATGGCTGATTTAGATGATGATGATCTTGGTGGTGAGGGGCCGACAGGGCCTCCAGCGTCAGGGAGTGCAGGACCATCAGTTGGACCGCAGCTTCCTCAGATGAGCACGAATCCGTTTTCGCCATCGGCAGGTGGTTCAGTGCCAAATCAGGTAGTACTTGATGTTGCTCAGTTTCAGCAGATCCTGCAGACAATGCAAGGCCAAAGTCAGGCTGTTCTTGCAGCGGCAGGTGTAGCGAGTGCAGCGTCCCCGAGCAGGAGTTCAGGGACACAGGGCTTTAGTGATGCAAACCGCATCTTGAATAGGCCCGCATGTTTTGGAAGCACTTCGCATGACAGTGACTTGGGGTCGTGGCTTGATTGGGCACATGCCTTTAAGGCTTGGCTTATCTTCGCCGACCCTCAGTATGAGATTGAGCTTCAGACAGTCGAGTCAAATCTTGATGTAGAGAACCCCACCATGCCAGCTGAAACTGCAGAGCGGTCGCGTCGCTTGTATGCGATACTTAGCAGTCTGCTGCAGCACAAGCCGAAGATGTTGTTGCGACAAGTGCCGAACCGCAACGGCTATGAGACTTGGCGGCAGCTGGTCAACATCTACGCACCGCGATCGAAAGTGCGAGGACTTGCACTGCTGAATGCCATCATGTCATTTCCCCCGTTTGTGAAAAGCAAAACGACCAGGGAGCAGGTTGACGGTTTGGATCGCCTTGCCCAGGAGTATGAAAGGGTCTCAGGAGTGGCTGTGAATCCAGATATTCTCCTCGGGACTTTACTTCGGGTTTTGCCGGCGCACTTGAGAAACCACATTCAGCTTCAGATGAAAAGTGACACCAGCTATGAGCAGGTCAAGCAGTTCATTCTGACATATGAAGTGACGACCAGCAATTGGTCGGCGTCCAAAGTGCAGCAAAGCTTAGGAATAGGCCCCTCGGGTGACCATAGTGCCAGTGATCCCGTACCCATGGATGTAGATAGGGTCGCTAAGGGGAAACCTAAAGGCGGCAAGGGCGATGGTCGTGGAAAGGGTGGAAAAGACAAAGGTGGAAAGGGCGGCAAGCCCAATGGCGGGAAACCGAATCCCGGTGGCGGTGGAGGCAAGTCTCAGAATGCCAACCAGCCGAAAGGCGGCAAAGGAAAGGGAGGCAAAGCACAGAAGGAGACGCGAAAGTGCCATCACTGCCATAAGGTTGGACATCTTGCCAAGGATTGTTGGCTGCTGCATGGCAAAGGCAAAGGCAAAGGCGTGCATCAGGTTGCAGAGGTAAACCCTTCAAGTGCAGCGAGCGAGGCACCCACCATCACGACATCAGGTGGAGCGGCCAGCACGAGTGGAACAGTGCGGCGAGTTCAGGTGTTTGACTTGAGTGCGCCCGCTGACTGGTTCATTGGAGGGCATGTTCGTGCTGTCACATGTGCCATGCAGTCAGCTCGGAATCCCAAGGCAGTTCAGAGCCCAGCAGGTCCCAGTGGCCAGGTTGCGATCGGCCAGGCGTGCAGCAGCGACATTTTGTCACCAGAATTTCTTGAGATTGTCCGAATGCTGGAAGGTTCATGTTTGAACAGTGCAGAGCCAGTGCGCGTTCTTGAGAGTAGCGATGCAGTCAGCTCGGAATCCCGAGGCAGTTCAGTCCCAGCAGGTCCATTTTATTTTGATCAGAGCACAGTGCCACAGGTGTCCCAGGCTGCGCCAGCAGCAGATCAGAGCACAGTGCCACAGGTGTCCCATTTTGACATTTCGGCCGATGATGATTCAGGATCGTGGGAGCACGGAGTTTCTGTGCATGAGCTCAGCACTCTCAAGCGCTTGGAGCCCAACAAAGGCTTTGTGTATGCTGTTCAGACAATCCAAGAGTTGCCCTCAGCTGACGATGCCCTGGATGTGATTTTGGATTCAGGTGCAGACATGAGTTGCTTGCCTCTTGAGTATGCACAACATGGTTTCGACCACGGTCCTCACAACTTGCAACTGCGTGATGCGCAAGGCGAGCCGCTTGCTGTGAACGACCTTCGTGAAGTTGAGTTTGTCGTTGAGAGCAGCACAGGGGAACATGTGGTGTGGCGAGAAGTTTGTGCGATCGCCCCAGTGACTCAGCCTCTCTTGTGCAAGGGCAAGCTCATGAAAGCAGGTTGGTGGCCCGTCAGACAGCCAGACATGGCTCTTGAGCATGACAGCGGTGTGAGGGTTCCGATTTCTTTCAAAGGAAATTCCTTGTGCGTTCGAGCAAGCATTTTCAGGGTTGGCCAAGAATCCTTGAGTCCAGCAGGGCATGTGATGTTTGTCCAAGCATCAGTTTGCAATGAAATGGCCGATGCGAATTTTGGATGGCAAATGTCAGGCACGGGAAACTTGTACTTTCGTGGCAGGAGCACTCACTACATTGATCCGTCGATCATTGCGCCAGTGGGGTGGCCCTGCAGAACCACTTTGGTCAAGCCGTGCACACCTGATCATAATGCCTGGATTTTGCTTGAGCATTGCGTGCACTGGGGTGAGTTGCGAGAGCTTGCGGCCATTTTACCGCACGGAGAAAGTGATGTAGTATGCATCCTCTCTTCGTCACGTGAAGAGTTGTCCGAGTTTGGAGTGGAACCTCACAGATCAACGCAAGGGCACATTGATTGGTCTGGCCCGCAACCTGGAGACCCAGATGCTGATGAGCTTGCAGATTACGAGCCTTCCGAAGCCGACATGCAGGACACTTCTGCTCCACAGTTGGTGGAGGCGATGCCAGGTGTGCCTCAGGTCCACAGGGATGTGGAGGTGTTGCCAGATGCCGAGGGCGTCACAGGCGAGGCGCCAGTGCCAGGAAGCAGCAGTGACATTCTTGTGTTTGAAGGCGTTGAGCTTTCCCTGCAGAGCACATTGAGTGTGATTCGTACGGCATGCAAGTCGGCTGGGATATCCGTTTCAGGGAGCAAGCAGCGTTGCCTTGATCGCTTGAGGGGTTACCTTGACAAGCAGCAATTGGCCCTGAGTGCCGAAGTTGCTCAGACAGTCGGAGATGACAGTACGCGTGAGCCGAAAGGGCAGTCCGTCACCAAGGCCCCAACAGAAGCCGAGAGGCAGTTGCATGAGCTGACCCATTGGCCATTCCGGCCATGGTGCGATCACTGCATGGCCATGCGTGGTGTTGAGGACCGGCATGAATCACTGCCGGGGAGTGCCGACACTGAGGTCCCGATCATCAGCTTCGATTATGCCTTCACCAGTGTGTCAGGTGCCGAGGGCCAGGGCAATGCAGCTAAGTTGACCGTTCTGGTTGCACATGACACCAGCGCCGGCAGTGTGCTAGGGCTTCCTGTTGCAAGCAAGGGGCGCGAGGATCTGAAGTTCAGTGCAATCGAGCTTACAAGGTTCGTGCAAGGCTTAGGCCACAACAGCATTTTCCTTTGCTGTGACAATGAGCCCTCCACGTTGGCTCTTCAAAGTCTTGTGGTCAATGTTCGGACCAAGCTCGGGTTCAAAACCATGATCCGTGATGCGCCGGTGCACTCGCATGCATCAAAAGGCTATGTGGAGAAGGCCATAGACTTGGTGAGAGGTCTTTCCAATGTCTTGCTTGATCAGGTGAGAGTCAAGTACAACTTGAGTGCTGAAACCATCAGTGCAGATCACCCTTTGATGGCATGGAGCTATGTTCACGCAAGTTACATCTTGAACAGGTTCGGAGTGAAAGGCGGAGCAACGGCATTCGAGCGTGCCACTGGTTACCGTTTTGCATCCAAGCTCGCCTGCTTCGGAGAACCGGTTTGGGGTTTTAGGCGTGGAAAATCTAAAGGGGATCGAAAATGGCATAGGGCAGTATTCTTGTCGAAAACTACAACAAACAATATGTATATCTTGATGAATGCCCAGGGC